TATTACGACTTTTGAAAAAAGAATTTACGTTTTCTTTATAAATGAACGAAACGAAAAACTTTTTTTTCTTCTTCTTTCGTTTGTTAATCATGTTTATATCTTTTATTATGTTTTACAGTAGGAATTGAAATGATCAAGAGGAACGGAAAAAAATGATCGACAACTTCCGGCATTAGGAAAATCGTATATATATCCACATGGGATACACAACGACTTGCAATATATTACAAGTTAAAATGGCAACAGGTGCTTTACACAATTTATTACAGGATCCATTAATACGTCTATTACATATTATTGTATACTTCACGCTTGGCGACACTCTTCGTCTCTTCAACTTCAGAACAAGTGAGTGGTAATCATTTTTGTTTTTTTAAAGAAACCCTTAGGGTTAATTATATTTTTACAATCTGCTTAAGTATTGCTGTACGTTATATGAGGATTTAGTGTTTGTTTCACTTCCCCCCCTGAGAATACTTAACTAATAACTACCAATCAGATTCTTTCGCAATTTTGTCAAAAAAAATGTTTTTGATGAGTAAACAATTTTTTGTTGATTGTTTCTGTTTTATTAAAACAGCAGACTACTAAAACCTGTAAAATACTACTTTTTTTTTACGTTATGATATACTATTTGGGTACTTTTTTTTAGATTTCAGCCACTAAAAGCTACTTTCTGTTTTTTTAGAATTTCCACTATTTTTAATTCGCTAATAGTAATAGTATAGAAATCAAAAAACTATTCTCAAAAATTATAATCAAATTCTTTAAAACGATTCAATTATTTTCAATAACTAGTATTTTCATAAAATTTAGCAAAAGAATTCAATTATTTAAAAAAAGAACAAAACTTACAAATTTTTGTCAATAGGAAATATTTCTTAATTATTAGGGCATGTTACTTAAATTGTTACATATTCATAGAAAATTGTAATTTTTATTCAAATGTAGCTTTTAATTGTCTAGAATGTTGAAAATTTAATTCTGTTTGCTTCTAATAAATCGAATTTAAAATTTATTAGTTTATCTTTTTCATACAAAATTCGAAACTATAACATTGGACTAACTTTTGTTATGAAACTGAAGTTACCAATGTTTTCATTTAAAGCAACAAGTGAAAAAAAAAATTTTTTAAGAACAAGAAGCAAATAATTTCTGATAAAAAGAACTTAAATTATTTTCATTTCATCCTAAACAGATTTTGAATCCAATCGGGTCAATAGTTACTGAAAAATTTAAGCTTTCTTTATTTCATTTAGTTTTATCTTTTGTTCCGATTCTTACAGATTCTTTGTAGGATTCTTCCTTAGGTCAAAGTTGATTAAAAAACCTATTTTTAAGTAAAAGTTAATTTAAATCATGATTAAAATAAAAACATGTTCTTGATTTTGATCTTGATTTAAATCATAATTTAAATCAAGTTGATTTAAATCCTAACAGCCTTGGCTTAAATATCTGATTTTTGTACCCCATATGTCATTATAGAAAGAATTAAAAACTAAGCTTTTATATGTGAGTAGGAATATATAAAGAAGAATATAGTATATAGAATCTTGCCCCTTGGAATCTTAGAATTAGATTCCTTAATGATGAAAGTTAGTTTGAGCTTGGGGTTCTGTATACATATTGCACCTGCGGTTGAACGATGTTCTATGAATTGTGCCCGCCTTTCCCTTCTACGGCCTTTACCTGGCTCTACCTGACTCACATTTTCACATATACAAGTGAATCAAATTTTACGCAGTCTTCAAAGTTTTAAAAGCTTTCAACATTCCAATTCATGCCACTGTTTATTACTTTCATCTCCATATCAAAATTCAATTTTTTTTATAGTTCATCTCGAAAATTATTTATGTGTGATATTCTTAAATTGTATAAACACTTTAAGGATGAAAAATATTGTTTTTAACTTCATTTTTTAGGGTGATTTTAAAGGTCCCTGAAGTTAGTGTCGACGCTGCGCATCGAAAATAATTATTTTTTTCACGAAATCGAAAGAAATGAAACAATTGCTTCAAAGGTTTAAAAAAAGGTTAAAAAGTGGCCTGGTGGTTTTTTGATTCCCAAATCGTCGTCATTTGCTATTACCCTCTGGACAAAAAAACATGTTTGTTCCAAAAAACGTTCTTAAAACGTTTCATGTCCGCCAAATAATGTTCTAGAACATTAGATGAACACCCATGTTCTTAAAATGTTTTGGAACATTATTTGGCGGACATGAAACGTTCCAAAAACGTTTTAAGAACGTTTTTGGAACGAACACAGTATTTTCCCCAGACGGTAGGAGCTAAAAATGACGTCGTTGTTTGGAGGGACCAAAACCAAATTCATTGGTTATTCGGGGTTTTCCGGTTCACTGCTTAAGAACCTGCAGCCATAAATTCAAAATGGCAGATACAATATGGCGGTCAACAATTTTCTAAATGAACCATTTTTTAAGGATTCGTTTTCCATATTGAATCCGACATTTTGAATTTTTAAAATCTGTCCATATGGCCACGCTACTTTTTTACTCAGGTAGATTCATAATTAGCGATCCCAGAAACTCCTATAGATACCTAGTTTCATAAAAATGTAACAATTATTTAAAAGTTTATTTTAAAGTCGTTATTCATTCTTGTACGAGAAAAAAGCTTAATAAATGCGGAATAGAGGAAAACTATTGAGAAACAAGGTTAAAAATTTTTAAGGCCTAGAATCAATGTTTGAAGTCACAATGTTCACCGAAAAAACCACAAATTTTAATCTGTAAATCAGGAAAATGATCCAAATGAAGGCAATATTGATCATTTTGGGAGTCTTCGGATCGCTGATTATGAATCTACAGTCGAATTTCAAAAATTCAAAATGGCGGATCTAATATGGTGGCTAAATTAAAAAATTCTTGTCAAAATTACCAATTATTTTCACCAAATTTCCTCAATTCAATGATTTTTAATATCTATTTTAATAAAATTTTCCAAAAGAATCCAATTATTTAAAAAAAAATTTAATAAAATTCTCCGCAAACCTTTAATTATTTCCATAAATAATAAAAATTTCACAGGAATTCAATTATTTACAAATATTTTCTCAATAATTCAATTATTTTCATAAATAATAGGTAAAATTTTTACAGGAATTCAATTATTTTCGTAAATAATAAAATCCTTTCAGAGAATTCAATTATTTTCATAAATAATAAAACTCATTGCAGAATTTTAATTATTATTAATACAATTTTAATCAAATTTCTCGAAAAATGTAATTATTCCAAAAAATTGTCCACAAAATTGAATCATTAAAAAATTTGTTAATGAAATTATCTTTATGAGAATTCAATTTTAAGAAACATGCAATTATTCAAAAAATGGTTTTTTTTGATTTAGATAATTTAATTCTAGTACAATTTTCTAATAAAAAAATTGATTTAAAAATCAAAAAATTAAAATTAAAATTAATTTTAAAAATTTTTTATTTAAATTATTTTATTTAAATCATTTTTTATTTAAATTATTTTTATTTTAAAATAATTTAAATTAATTAAAATTAAAATTTAGTTAAAATTTTAGATATTAATTGAATATTAAAAGCATTAGAGCGTGAATTTTAAGCAATATTTTTAGAAATAATTGATTTTTGAAAAGGTTCTAAATTAAGATCTTTGAAAATCTGAATTTTTCATATTTTTAACTATACCAATTCTGTGGAATTAATTTTTTTGATTATTTTTAAAATTTTATTAAAATTCATCGAAAGAATTAAATTATTTAAAAATTTGTTGATAAAATTCTTTATGGGAATTGAATTTTAAGAAACATTCAATTATTCAATAAATTATTTATTTTTGTTTTTAAGTAATAGAATTCTAGTAGAATATTCAAAATGGTGGACATTTTTTTTCAAATTCGCTTGAAATTTGTTATTCGGCGGTTTTTAGGTTCACTATTGTGATTTTTTAAAATCTGACTTCGGATTCGTAATCAGAGACCCCGAAAACCCCCGAGTAACATGTTTTATGTAAATTTGAGCAATTTTGAAAAAAATGTCCGCCATATTGGATCCGCCATTTTGAATTTTGAAAATCTGACTTCAGATTCGTATAATCAACAACCCGAAAAATGCCTGAATAACAAGTTTCAACAAAGTCCAATAATTGCTGGGTTTCTCAGGGGCACAAAAATGTTTATTTGGATAATAACTTTTGTAATTTTTTCTGTGAAAATTGTGACTTTAAACATTGATTCTAACCCTAAAAATTTCTCGTACAAGAAGAATTCATTTTCGTTAACTCTTTCAAGAGATATTAGGTTTTGAACACATTTTTCAGAAAAAGGAACACTGTGAGGCGCATGCGCACAGGTTGTCAAGGTAACGTAAAGAGTAAGAGAGACAGAAAATTTAAATTAAATTTTTTCTCTCCCTTACTCTCTTTGCTGCCTGCGCCATTTGGTACCTTTCTTGGTAGCGCGTCACATAATCAAAATTTCAAAGGAAGGGGCTATGAAATTTCAAACAATTTTTTGTTTTACCATAAAGGTATAGCAAAAGTTCTTTATTCACTTTTTTTCCTATTTCCTAAAATTTCATTCAATCGAAATTCTATTTATTTTTCCCAGTTCAAAACCGTAATGTTTGACTATATACCTATGACTCTTTGTTATAGATTTCTGAATCAAACAATGAAAATTTTTCTTCATTGTTGTCAATCCAGAAGGGTCTTGCATCCCCCGTTTGTAGAATACATACAAAATCCCCGTTTACAGAATATAGGTACAGAATATTACTTCTTTGATAATGATTCTAATTTCTCGAATAAAAATGTAATTTTTTGACGGATTAAGATGGTAAATTTTCGGAAAGTTGCCGGCGACGAGGACGACCTGTTGAGTGTCGAGGGGTTTTCTGAGTTCTGGATGGTATAGACGAGGGGGTTGAGTGGGAGGGGAGCAGTGACTAGGGATTTTAGGGGGGCGGAGGGGAGTGTGTTGAGGTAAAAGCAGGAGGAAGAAACAGGCAGGCGGCGACGCGCAGTCGCCAGGTGAGCTAACAACGTTGCGCGCGCGCGCGACGGGGGTCGAACAGTCCATCGTTCAACACCGAACGAACGTCGTCCTCGTGTTCGCCGGGTTAGACGACGTTGGGCAGAAAAAGTTTTTTTTCTCGAGGAAAATTTTTTATTTTCAATCAGTGTTATTGTTTAATTAATGAGGGAAAAGTGAAATTATTATTAACTGGTCTACCTCGTTTTTATTGAACAGGAGACTCGCAAGGTGTGTCATAACCTCAAAATAATATTTAAAAAAGGAGAAGGTGTCCCAGGTAGTAACGAGACGTAGCGGTCCGACGCAACAGGCGACATGTCTATGTCTATCTACGTTCTTTGAAAACAATATTTTGTGAGTGTTTTTACGCGAGTGGGTTTTTTTTTAAAATAGAGGAAAAAAGTGATTTTTTGTTTGTTTTTTTTTTCGAAAATTTAAGATTCGAGTGGTGTAAGAATTGTTAAGGAACTTGTCTGGAGGGTTGTAACCCTCGAACGCCGGATATGCAGATGACGACAGGAATGGGGCCGACACACCTGGTCGCCCTTTACGTGGCGACTGCCGGCCTTCAAGGCACTGCTCTCGGCTCTGATGAAGAGGAAATTACCCTTCTGGTGTACGTCCTCATCGACGCTCTTCAAAATAAGGTACAGGTGTTGTGTTCTTTTTTTTACATTCCCATGGAAAATGTGAGAAAGTCTTGTTTTTTTTTGGGTATAACGTATGGAAAAGCTTTCGTTATATATCATTGAGAGGAGATTCAAATGCCGCCAATGTTACAGAGAAGATATTCCATATGATCTCTTGCAGAATCTCATTTTTGTCGTGTTTTAACGCGTGTTTGCATTTGTCAAAACTTAACATTATAAGAATGAAACTGGAGATAAGAAACAGATATCATATCTAACTGTCGGTTTAACATATTGCATCAATCGTTTACGTCAGGAAAAATTATATTGCTAGAAAAATTCTTTCTTAGCATCTGCAAATTTCATACAATTTGCTCTAATTTTTTATAATTTCCTTATTAGCATGACTTTCGTGCTGTTGACAATATTTTTTCATATATTACTCCAATCTGGATGTTAATTTCAAATATATAGTCTGAATTGTTTCTCAAGTTATATTTTCCCGATCTATCAAAACATGCAACAGGTGCTTTTGGAAAATATATTGGCTCATTCTTATAATATTATTGTTTTATTTTTGTTACATTTTCCTAAGTTTTTGAACTTTGAATCGAACGAAATTTTTTCTATTTAATTTTCCGAACGGTAAATAATCTAAATCAAACATTTTCTTAATTATTAGGAAGATTTTGACGGTCTATAAACAAATCTTTCAAAAATTATTTTTGAATCATTTTTTAAGATAATTAAATTTTTCAAATAAATCTACAATAAAAATCAAGTTAAAGTGTACAATCAACGTTGATCAAGGAAAAAAATTGTTCACTTAGTAAATTATGAAAATAAACTAAGTTTAAGTCCACAACGTTGATCAACGAAAAAAATTGGTCACTAAGTAAATTATATATATATATAGTTCTAGATAACGCAGTAATATTGACACAAAAATATTTAGAAAGAAAAGATTAATGTTTTGTTTTTAATGACAATTGTTAGATGCAATTAAATATTAAATTGAAAATAATATTTGAGTACATTAAACAAATTTTTTTCGTTGATCAACGTTGAGGACTACAATATCCCAAAAATAATTGAATAATCAAAAAATTTTAATGAAAAATCTTTAAATGTAAATTTAAAAATGAAAATTAGCTTCTAGTCTTTTAAAATTCAATATTTTCACTATTTTTAATAACAAATTTCCGAAAATTCAAGTACATACAAAGAATAATAATATTTTAGAATTAATTTTAACATTTTGGAGAAAAAAATTGTGTTTAAAATTTATAATTAAAATTTATCGAAAATTGAATTAGTTTTTTTAAACTATACAAAACTTCTTTTAAGAAATTCAATGATTTTCGAACAAAGTAAATAAAAGTTTACTTTTTTAGACTTTTTAAAATTTTGGAGAAATCATATTCTTATTTATAAGGGCATATCTCTGGAACTTTTAACTTTCGTGTCCCTCGCATATATATTTCGATAATTTCAATAACTTTTTACTTTATTTTTGTTGGAAATATTAAAGCTTGATAAGATGAATCAGTTCCAAAAGGTTTTACATTAATTTATTAAATAGATCAATAATTAGTAATTATATTTTATATATTTAATTATATATTATATTTTTTCAATTCAGTTTAATTAAAATCTATTTTTAAAATAAAAACCATTTTAATTTTTTAGCAATTCAAACAAAAAATAAAAGAAAAGTAATGTTAATGACTAGTAATAATATAATAAATTTAAAAGTAATATATTATATAATAATATAATTATTATTATAAATTATAACCAATTACTTTCAACTGTTTTCGATTCTAAAAAACAAACACCTGTTAAATATTTTTTTGTTGCACGTTAAAAATAATTCGCAATTTTAAATAGTTTATAACTTTTTGAAGACGAATCATTTTATCTGTCGACTTGCATATTTTGAAAGCTTATTTCTTAAAGTTTATGTAGACAGTAGACAAATTTTTTCTCATTAAAAAGTTAAAGGTTCTAGAGATATGCCCATAATTGAAATTCTTTAAAAATTTGATTATTTTTTTTCAAAAATTCATTTGGAAGGGTCATTGACTAAAACTATTTTTCGGGTCTTTTAGCGATAAAAATGTCACTATATAATTACATTTTTTCATTCAATTTGGGAATCGAAAAACCCACCAGGGCACTTTTTAGTCTCAAACCTTTGAAAATTGTTTCAAATTCTTTCGATTTGGTGAAAGAAAAATTGTTTTCGATGCTCAGCGTCGACCTAAAATTTGAATATATATAGATATAATAGTTGACAGGAAATATATTTATTTCTTCAAAAATGCTTTTCCGAATAAAAAAATCCCCTGTGTATTGGAATATTTTTCAATGTTTCGTTAAACAATAATTTTGTTTGATCCCTTTATAAATGAATGTGTAATAAAAACTTGTTTTTCAGGTCTTTGGATATATGCAGTCGTGGAGAGCAAAATAATTTTTTTTGCCTTTTTAAATTTTTATCATTAATAAGACACAGTTAATGATGCTGTTATGATTTATATATCTTTTGAAATCCTTGATTATTCTGATCATTTTCCTTATTATATTATTACGTATTTAAATTGTGAGCCTTTGACCCAAAATTTTTATTTTATTATAATATATAAAAAAATTATTTAGTATATTCAAAAATTAATTCTTAATATTTAATTTTAATATTATACTTATATAATAATTTACATAACGAAACATACATTTGTTAAACTTTTTTTTTTTAATTTTATACTAAAATAGATTATATCAATCAAATAATATTTTTAAGGAAGAATCTAATGGGCAGTCGAAACAAAAATTAGTCCAATTTTATGATTTCGTATTTTATATGAAGAAGATAAATTAATAAATATTAAATTCGATATTGAAATTTATTAATTTATCTTTTTCGTACAAAATACGAAACTATGACATTGGATTAACTTTTATTATGAAACTATGAAGTTACCAATGTTTTCGTTAAAGCAAAAAGTGAAATTTTTCTTTAAGAACAAGAAGCAAATAATTTCTGGTGAAAAGAACTTAAAATTTTAAATTCAAACAATAAAAAACTTATAAGAAACCTAATATTTATTAGGTAAATATAAAGACTGTTAATTAAACAGAAGATAGACATTTATTTTTTCAACACGTTCGGTTAAATAGTTTTGTAAAAAAAAATAAAAGTAGCTATTGTCGCTTCTAGTATAAAATTATTTTTTTATTATCTTTACTAAAAAACCAAGCTCCAGAAGAATTTAAATAAAAAAAATCCGATTTGGATTTTAAATAAAAAATATATGTTTTTTCAAAAATGATGATTTTTAACAGCTCTGATCGAAAGTAGTTTCCTTTAATTGCAATAATTTTTAAATAATTTCTTTCTTGGAAGATATTATTTTAGAGCAATCTTCCTTACACCTTTTTTTCTTTCTTTATAATATTATATATTTGTCGGTTTTGAAGAGAGAAAAAAATGTTGAACCATCGCGTTTATATATGTGCCTCCTGAAAATTATATATCCGAATTCATGTGCAAATTAAGGTAAACTTAAAATGGCCGGTGTATGGGTGCGGCAACCTTAAGAGAAGGGAAAAAATTTCGTTCATTTAAAATGTTAAGAACATGAAGCATAAATTTAGAAATTTGTTTTATAGGACGATAATTTTAATATGTGCCTTTTTCTATATAGATATTTATTATATGTAGCACTTCAGTTTGGTAATATTAAAAACTTGTTGTTCCCTTTTTTTAAACGAGAAAATGTAAATTCCACTATATACCAATAAAATATAGATATATATATGTTAAATCTCGAAAATATAACCTTTTTTTTAATAGCGTATTAGGATAAAAAATTTATTTTTCTATATTAATGTAGGTTAACGTAACATTAATTAACAATAGGTTAACTTCAACCTATTATTTCTTTGGGAAAATTTTTACTCAATGTTTACAAAAAAAAAAAAATCCGGATTATAAAATTAACGTGTTTGCGAACTGAAAGTCTGCTGTAATTTTTCCCTAGAAATATAGATTATAAATATGCGACTATGGTTACATCATGAAAGAGAAAATTGAATTTTTGAAAGAGTTATTGTTTTATAACGTTTGCTGAAGTTCACAGCGTTTTATAATCAAACAGTTTAGAAAGAAAACACATTTTTTATGTTGAAATTTTTATAAATTTCTGTTTTAAGATGTTTTGAATACTTTTCTCAATTATTAATACTTTATGAAATAATTAATAAAAGAAAAGTTTGTGAACAAAAACTTTGTTCTTTCATCTCTAAAAACCCAAATTATAGTTTTTGACGCTAAAATTCGATCACAGCTTCAAAAATAATAAAATTCTTCGCAGAAATTCAATTATGTTCAAAACTTAAAAAAAAAAAATTCTTGTCAAAATTTCAATTATTTTCAAAAATAATAAAATTCTTCTCCAAAATTTAATTTTTAGTTCAAATTCCATTATTTTCAAAAATTTCAATAAAATTCTTCACAAAAATTCAATTATTTTGAAAGATTTTAATAAAAATTAAGACAATAATTCAATTATTTTTATATATAAAAATCTTTAAAATTCTTTACCAAAATTCAATTCTTTTTAAAAATTTTAATAAAATTCTGGGCTCAAATTCAATTATTTTCTAAGGTTTTTACAAAATTCAAGACCAGAATTCAATTTTCTTTATAATTAATAATACTTCGGAAAAATTCAATTATTTAAACAATTTTTGGTAAATTCTTGACAAGAATTTAATTATTATCATAAATAAAATTTTTTTAAATTTTTAGTCGAAATTCCATTATTTTCAAAACTTTCAATAAAATTCTTGACAAAAATTCAATTATTTTCAAAGATTTTAATAAAAATCAAGACAAGAATTTAATTATCTTCTTAAATAAAAATCTTTAATATTCTTCGCCGAAATTCAATTATATTCAAATATAAAAAAAATAAAATTAAAAAAAATTAATAAAATAAAATTAATAAATAAAA